GAATTCTTTTGGCCAGGCCTGTCCTCCCACTTGGTTTTCTACCTCCAGGGGTCTGCATGTTTTGTTCTAATATTTTACCTTGTCTTCTTGGCTGCCCTTTGAAGTGTCCCTTAACTCTTGGTGTTTTGGAGTGTTTGAAATATTTCATTGTTTCTTTCTCTCATTTGTTAGGTTCCTGTTGGGTTGAATACAGCTCATAGTGACCCGATGAACAACCCCTCTGAGCCCTGACCTGTCCTGTGCCATCCTCACATCTCTGACACACACAAGCTCACGGCTGCAGTCAGCGTATCAGTCCATTGGGGTGAAGGGCTTCCTCTCTTTTGCTGCTCCCCCATCCTCCCAATATGATGTCCCTTTCCAGAGAATAACCTCTCCTAGCAACATGCCCAACACCTGCGAGGTAGAGCCTCATCATCTCCGCCTCCCAGGAGCGCTCAGTCTGTATCCTCTCCAAAACCTTGTTACTGTTGTTATGTGCCATCGAGTCGACAGTACTTCATAGTAACCCTGTGCACAGCACCTCTGAAAGCCATCCTGTCCTGAGCCAGTCTCACTGTCCGTGACACACCTACCCTCATTACCCCAGTTACTGTGTCAATTCAGCTCCCGGGTCTTCCTCTCTGGAGCTGTACCTCCATCCAAGCCTGATGTCCTTCTCCAAGTACTGGTCCCTCTTGGACACATGTCCAAAGTATGTATGATGAAGTTTAAAAATCCTTTCCTCTAAGGAGCAAGTTTCACTCTCTCTAGGACAGATCTGTTTGTTTTCTTGGCAGTTCATGGCGTATTCAAGACTCTTCTCCAGCACCACAACTCAAAGGCATTGATTCTTCTGTCATCCTTAGTTATTGTCCAGCTATCTGACGCACAGCAAGTAATTGCAGAGACCGTGGCCTGGATCAGGCGCTTCTTGGTCTCTAAACTGACATTGTTGCTTCTCAGTCCTCTGGAGAGGTCCCTGACAGCAGACTTCCCCAGTGCATTTCATCTTTTGATTTTCTGAGTGTTGGTGCCAAGAGTGTTGATCATGAAGTTGATGAAGCTGTAATTGTTAACAATCTCAATCTCTTCTCCATCTATCATGGTGCTGCCAATTGGCCCAGTGGTGAGAATCTTTGTCTTCTTGATGTTGAGCTTCAATTCATGTTGAAGACTACAGTCCTTGATCTGCAGCCAATATTTCAGGTCCTCTCCAGTTTGGGCAAGCAGTGTTGTGTCAGCGTTGTTGTTGATGAATCTTCCTCCGATCCTGATGCCACATTCCTTCTCCTAAAGTCCCGACTCCCCATGTGATCTGTTCTGCATAC